TCTGAGCATGGATGTACCAGTTCCTAAGGCCTTTGCATGTTATGTGTTTAAAATCATGTGTTCTATGTATCCCCAATCCTCATCACCCTTGTGTGTAGGTTCTTTCTCCTGTTTTGGTCTTGTGAGCATTGCTGATGGGGTTTTAGACTCCATATTTGATTTACTATTGCTTGATCATATAATTCTCTCATTTTAAAGTTGTTTTACTACATAACTCCCTCTTTTACTCCACAAAGTATTTCAAACAAACCTCCTTTTAATATTGTTTTCCTACTAAAACTTTTCAAACTATGTCAAGCACTCCCACCTTCTTTCTAAGTCAATAGGTTCTGCCCCCTCCAGTATGTGTATTGCCTTGGGATCCTCTTAAGAACCCTCTAAACTCAGGCATACTAAGGCTGGCCCTTCCACACTGCACTTATTCAATTTTGGTTACCAAGTCTAGGTGTAAGCACTGCCCGGGATCCTTGAGATCCTTAGGGAGTTTTGATGCACCTAGACTATGGAATTGTCTATGGAATTTGGGTATTTGAGGCTATTGGAGGCTTTGGAAACCCGGGCCTAATTGAAGGATCCCTATAGAATAACTTCTTATTTTCTTATTTACTCATGTAATTCATTCATATGGTCTATAATAATTTGTTAACGAATATTGGGGTAATTAGTGAAAAGGGTGGGTAGCTACATGTTTGTGTGGTAATAATGGTAGAAACCATGCCTATAGGACTTTACACCTTGTTATGTTTGTCTCACCGTGTTAGAAATCATGCCTAGAGGTTTCAAATAATTCCATAGTAGAAATCATGTTTACAAGTCTTAAAAACAGCTTCACAAGTAGATGTCATGCCTATAGGATATAATTCAATCCAAATTCTGTTACGACAAGTGTTTACATGTTTCATGCCTGCAAGTTTCTAAAATAAGTATTCAACAACTAGATATCATGCCTATAGGGGACAACACCAGAAATTTTGCTTGTCAATCCGAACTAGTTCAGTTTAAATAAATTAATGATTAGCTCACTTCTAAACTGGTTTAATTAAGTGGTGTATATTTCCCTGAAACGAGTCATTTTTAAAATTGTCTTAATTTATCATTAGACAACATGCCTATAGGGATTAAAAAGTCCGTTTTAAAAATCTGCCTTGTTTCACTATAAGACTTAGTTAACATTGTTCCGCATAGGCAAGCTTGTAGGGCATTTTTAAAACTTGCAATTCTGAAATTGTTTTTGTGACTTAATGTTCTTTTGGTTTAACAGGCTTTAAAAAATCAATAGGCAACTGATAGGGCATTACTTCTGAGTTTATAAAAATAAACTGCTTGTCTTTTGTATATTCACCTAGACATCCTGCCTTAGGATACTGTTTAAAAAAAATGCCTTTATTTGTGTTTGAGTCATGCTGTTTACATGCCTTATTGTGGAGGTAAACTGAGCCTCTTATTTGCTCTTTCCTGTTCTTGTTTGCTAAGAGTCCTATGTGTTATTGCTTGTCGCCTTAGTATTTTCACCTTTTAAACCTTAGGGGTCTGTCTAGAACCACCTATAGGTAGAGGCCCTAAATCCCTCCAGGACCATTAAGAAGGGAAGGGTAGCAGCACACAATAGAAATCGTTGACCAACACTCACTTTGAATGACCACTAAGGGGATGGGAAGGGTAGATATGGGATATGATGACTACGTGCTAATATAACGTGTAGCCCCTCGTTGAGGAGTGTTTACCGGACATTGTGTGAGGTGATACTATAGGCTAATCAACCTAGGACTCCTCCTTTTTCAAAATTCCTTTTGTTTAAACATTGTTTTATAAACACAACTTGTCCAAAACCTTTATCTTATTATTTGAGTTATACAAACATGCCTTATTTGTAATTATTTGTTGCAAGTATTTATTTGGAATAATTCATAAATATAAGTTCGACCGGAACTCGCAGTTGTAGACCAAGAGGGGTGCCTAACACCTTCCCCTCGAGGTCATTTCGAGCCCTTACCCTAATCTCTGGTAATGCAAACCAATCCAAGAGTTAATCACTCTAGGTGCCCTAACACATCATAACTCGTTAGGTGGAGACTCTTCAAATACCAAATTCCCAAAAGGAAAGGAGTTATTACACCCCATGAATGTCAGAACCCGTACCTCTCTCCGCGAGGAGGGAAACGGGCGCGATACTCACTGACTATTTTACTAAGTGGGTAGAAGCAGGAGCCTTCAAATAGGTACGAGAAAAAGAGGTCAGAGACTTCATCTGACGAAACATCATATGCCGGTTTGGGTTTCCAAAAGAGATCGTGTGTGATAACGGCCCGCAATTCATAGGTGCACAAATCACAGAATTCTTCCAAAGTTAGCAAATTAGAAGGATTACCTCGACACCTTATCATCCAATGGCCAATGGAAAAGATGAATCAACAAATAAAGTTATTATAAACTTGAAGAAACGACTAGAAGAATCAAAAGGCAAGTGGCCAGAGGAACTACCTGGAGTCTTGTGGGCTTATCGAACAACAACAAAAACAAGTACGGGAGAGACACCATTCTCACTTGTGTATGGTGCTGAAGCCTTAATTCCAGTCGAAAAAGGGGAGCCAAGTATGAGATATACTTGTGAGCATGTGATTTTTGCCCTATACGAAATACTCCTATAAAATCCCAAGAAAATAGGTTTTCTGTTAATTATTTGCCAATTTAGGATTTTTGTAGAATTTTATTTAATTGTTTGCATTTTATGCATGTTTAAGTTTTATTTAAATCATGAAAATACCAAAAATACCATGAATTGCATTTAGGATTGGTTTTTACATTTTTTTTTAGGATTAATCAGTAATTATTTATTTTATAGAAATTTGAAAATCCCAAAAATAACTCATTTTACATTTTTTGTCTTTTAATTTTTAATTTATTGATTTTTCTCTTTTGTAGAATTAAGTGATGTATATAAATATTATAATTAGATAATTAGCTTAATTTTACAATTTGGATTAATTTAGGATTTTAATTTAAGAAAAAGAAAAAGAAAAACAAAGGAGAAAGGAATAAAAGAGGTAATTGAATAAAAGGGGTTTTAATATGAATTTGAGTTAATTCTTTATACCAAATTGGCCAATTTCTTCCCCAAAGCTAACCCAGATCCAAGCCCAAATTCGAACCAACCCCAGTCTAAATGCACTTGAACCCATCAGCCCAAAACTCATGCCCTTTTAATTAAAACCTAGCTCCTAGACCTAGGATAGAGATCAAATTTAGACAAAAAAAGAAGACCCTCCCCTTAGAGAAAAAATCGAAAACGGTGCTCCCCCTTCTCTTGAGAACAATCAGATCTAATCCCTCACAGATTACACCTAAGGAGATGAAAAAAATCAGAGGCTCCTCTATAAAAGAAGCGTCGTTCCCCTCTTCTTCACCTTCACTACTCGTTCACACACAGAGAACACACTCTTTCCCTCCCGTTTTTCTCTGATTTCATCAACACACACATGCTGAACCCTTTGGTAACAAGTGGAAATTACAGAATCTAGAGCTGAAATTAGAAGGTGGCGAAGTTGATTTTTAGCCTCAAATTTTTATTTTATTTTCCACATTTTTCTCGGAATTTCGGAGATTGATGAAGCCGTAAAGATTGCTTCGAAGCTGAGAGCTGTTGGAACTGTTTGATTGTGAGCTCATTGTTGTTTGTTGGCTGGAGCTTCTTGAGTTTTGCTTCTAGGTATGTTCATATTCTCTGTCGCTCTACATCGGATCATGAAATAAAACTTGCTTTGTTAGTTTCTGCCCAGTTCGGTAAGACCAGTTGGCTCAATTGTTGATTTTAGCTTTGAACCCCTCTCTTTGTTTATCTCTAGTTCCAGTAGCATAATTCAAATACTTGAGTACGATGTTGTTTTGCTGATGAAACTAACATATGTCTACTAAGTTTTTACTCACATAAAAGTGATAGATTCGTGGGTCTAAGTCTATTCTGTTTTCGTCTTAGTATTTGTACTTGAAAAAACATTTCTCCTCTTGTCTAGTTGTGCTTTGTGGTGGTGAAGTATCTGAATGCATATTTATACCAAAATGCTCTGTTTGTGCAGAATAATTAATGGCATACAAGTTAGCACCTTATGTTAGCTTTTCTCCATTTGATTTTCATTCTTTATGCTCAAAAGTTCAAGAATCTTTTCCAGTTGCCTTCTGGTTTTTAATTGGAGTAAATAATTTTGGAAGTCCTAAATTTTAGCGGTTACTAAAAATAGAAACTAATTGCTAAATGAAAGACATCTTTGGTTTCAGCAGTGTGCGAGGCTAGTTGATTTGTAATTGGAATTTGGTTGCCTTAAGTTGAAATGGCTTGCCATATTTTGTTTGGGTAATAATAAAAGATTACGTAAAGTTATGAGCGACCCATTTTAAATACCTACTGTTTTGATACAATTGTTTTGCAAATGGTGCTACTAATTCATTTTTTATATATAGTGCATTTGTCTACTTTTTCTCGTAGATATTTTCATGTTTTAACTTTTTTTTCGCATTTCATCTTTAATTAGGATTCACAAATGTCATTTCATCTTCTGATTTATAGGATATTCAATCTACATGTTTTCAAAAATCATCCATGAGATGACACTTTACAACAAATCTTAGACTTAGAAAGATAATTAATCTTTTGTAACATCGTAGTTCGATATAGGCGCGTAATAATAAATCATCGTGACTATGGGTACGGTTCCTGTGGCATGGTCACAATACGTAATCACCAATTAGGGTGTGCATTTCATGTGACCCGATCATAACAACTTTGAATAATAATAAAATAAACGTGTCGCAAATCGTGGGTGCATTTCATGTAGCATGGTTTGCGGTGTGTTCCAAAATGGCAAGTGTACGACAATCGTAACTTGTTCAAGAAATAATTCCATAAATCCTAAAAAGCAGTAAAATAATTAAAAGTTGTTATAAAGCTAAAAATGCACAATTGGTTTAAAACAAGCAGTAAATCAGATAATAGGTCAATTATTAATAGTTTAAGCGACCGTGCTCGAACCACGGAACTCGGGAATGCCTAAAACCTTCTTCCGGGTTAACAGAATTCCTTAAGTAGAATTTCTAGTTCATAGGCTTTTAAAATAAAGTCGAAATTTCCTCAATTTGGGATTTTTAAATAAATTGGTAACTTGGGACACCCAAATAAACTATTCCAAGTGGCGATTCTGAAAGAATTAATAAAACAATTCCATTTCCATTAATGTCACTTAAATTGGAAAAATTCCCTTATATCTGCCCTCGGGTGGGAAAAGAAGGTATGACAATACTCAAGCTACTGAAGAGTCAAATGAAGAAGAGATGCGGGTAAATCTGGATTTGCTTGAAGAAAGGAGGGAAACTGCCCTAATAAGAACGGCAGCGCAAAAACAAGTTACTGAGCGATATTATAATCAGAAAGCTCGTCTCAGATACTTCAAGATTGGGGACTACGTACTCAAGAATATTTTTCAATCCAGAAGAGTAGCCAATGCAGGAAAGTTAAGTCCAAATTGGGAAGGGCATTACAAGATTCGTGGTATTATAGGAAAAGGTGTATATGAGCTTGAAACCATGGATGGCAAGATTCTGCCGTCAAGTTGGAATGTTGTTCATCTGAAAAAGTAATTTCTAAGGGAAGGAAATACCAACAGTCAGGTATCCCCACTTACAATGTTTATTTTTGAATTGTTAAAGTTATACTAACAATTTTAGATGATAGGCAAAAAGCTAGCCCACACGAAACGATGAAATTAGACCTGAAAGACACGAGGAAGAAACATAATTCCTGGTCTAGGGTTACAACTATTCTGATGGATATGTAATGGGTTAAGCAGTCTTCATCTAAATTATACCTCCGAGTCCCATATGTTTTTCCTTTTCAGGAAAGTGAACGCATGGAAGGAATAATCAAGTGCTCGAGATTTCATACTTCAAAGCTCAAACACTTGGGGGACTATATAATATACATATAATATATGTATAAGGAAGGCAATAAAGGCTGAAACAATTAAATTTCAAGTCAATCCTAAAGTCTACTCAACAAATATCATGTTCAGAGCAAAATCACGAGCCAAAAACGCAAGCCCAATTCGAAAACCTGTGAAGAGTACACCCGTGGATATAGATTTCAAAATCTTACGAATGTTTAGGTTAAAGGAAATATTTAGCCATGGGTCATAAAGAAACCCTTGAATTTTCTTTTTTACAAATTTGTTGTAAAGAAAACAGTTACGGAAGAGTTATAGAAGATACTTAAATATATGTAAGGTATTATTCAGTTCGAATGAAATAAAACTTTTCTCAAAGTTATTCCAAGAAACATGTGTGATCCTATTTCTCCTTTCGTATGTTTACACCATTATGAAGTTGAAACATCTTCTTCATTAAGTGTATATAAAAGGGCCCTCTTTTATAATTCATGTTTGATTCAAATAAGTCATGAAATTATCTAAGCATTTTTAAATGCAAAAGTTAAAAGGGTAAAACAAAAACCCGCGTATTAAAATTGAAGTGGAAAACAAAGCCTTAAACTTAAAAGGAAAAATCAAGGGCAAACCACTAAAAGAGTAAAATAGAAACTCAAATCAAAGGCATCATAAAAGAGAGCACAAACTTTTTGATATCTTAAATAACTTAGTTAAAACTAAGTATGAACTTAGTCCTAACCTAATTGTCATTATAAACCCCAGAATAGGACTGGAGGAATGATGTTACCAAAAAACATTACCCCTAAATGGGACCAGGGGTAAAACCACCAATTGTTCACCAACAAAACAAAAAAAATCTAGTTAACTTCACAATTAAACTTTCACTATAGAGCAGATTTTGAACCAGTATTCAAGATGGCATCATCAGCAGCAGAAGGATCAACTTGATCAGAAGGAGCTGGGACATCTACTACGCCAGGATTAGCTTCAACAATTTCGGGAGAATCAGCCATGGGTGAAGAAAAACTTTGGCTTTGCTGAGTTTTTTTAATTGTCTCCTTAATCTTTGCTAACTCAACGTCCAAGTTAAAACCTTCCTAACTTACCTCCATAAGAGAATCATGGCGGGTGCTCAAAATGGCCCAACTTTCTTCAATAGCGGCCTTGAGCTCTTCTTTCTTAGCTAAAGCAGCATCATAAGAATCCTGTAATAGAGCAAGCGAACTCTCCAAAAACCTAACTTTATCGGTGGACACTCAAAGGTCTTCTTGGGCTTTAGTGAGCGTTTGAACAAGCTCACTTGCATAAACATCTTTCTCATCTAGCAAGGCTTTTAGACCTCTGATCTCTTCTGTTGCCTTAGAGAGTTGTTCAGCAAAAGATGACTCAAGAAGGTGTTTGTCCTTGCCTGCCTGGTTGGAAGAGGCTTTCTTAATTTCTAGCTCCGCTGCCATGATTTTAATGTGTTGCTCCAAGGTATATTTGTTCTTTTCTAAAACTTCCATCTCAAGCTGAAGACTTTTATAGTGTTCTTTCCAATTATCAGCCTCAATCTGATAGTCATGCGTCAACTGCTTCGTATGGGAAACCCTTTTCATCATCTTCGTACCGATGAGATTAATCTACATAAAAAAAGGATGAGAATCCTAGTAAAGGGAAATTACGTTAGGTAAAAAGGGAAGCCTATACATTCAATGATGATTTCACGATGTCGTTAATCCAAGTTAAAGAACTGTGACTCTCCAGTTTTGACTTTTCCTCTGGACCTATCAAGGGTTTTAGCCATACATAAGCTTGGCCCGACTTCTTCAGAAGATTACCATCAACAGGAACCTCAATGGTAATTTGCTTCATTGCCCTGCTACCACTTGAAGAACCAATTTCATGACGAGAAGTATTGGTAGCAGGAACGGTTGAAGAAGTTATAATAGCTTCGGTTATTATAAATAGAAGCTAACTGCTAAATAAAAGGCATCTTTGGTTTCAGCAATGTGCGAGGCGAGTTGATTTGTAATTGGAATTTGGTTGACTTAAGTTGAAATGGCTTGTCATATTTTGTTTGGGTAATAATAAAAGATTACGTGAAGTTATGTGCAGCCCATTTTAAATACCTACTGTTTTGATACAATTGTTTTGGAGATGGTGCTACTAATTCATTTTTTATATATAGTGCATTTGTCTACTTTTTCTAGTAGATATTTTCATGTTTTAACTTTTTTTTCTCGTTTCATCTTTAATTAGGATTCACAAATCTCATTTCATCTTCTAATTCAATGTCGGCATCTCATTATGTGGCGGCCTAATCTAACTTTGGTAAATTGGATATTCAATCTATATGTTTTCAGAAATCATCGATGAGATCATACTTCACAACAAATCTTAGACTTAGAAAGATAATTAATCTTTTGTAACATCGTAGTTTGCTATAGGCACGTAATAATAAATCATCGTGACTATGGGTACGGTTCCCGTGGCATGGTCACGATACATAATCCCCAATTTGGGTGTGCATTTCATGTGGCCTGATCATAACAACTTCGAATAATAATAAAATAAACATGTCGCAAATCGCGGGTGCATTGTAGCGTGGTTTACGGTGTGCTCCAAAACGGCAAGTGTACAACAATCATAACTTGTTCAAGAAATAATTCCATAAATCCTAAAAAGCAGTAAAATAATTAAAAGTGGTTATAAAGCTAAAAATGCACAATAGGTTTAAAACATGTAGTAAATCAGATAATAGGCCAATTATTAATAGTTTAAGCGACCTTGCTCGAACCACAGAACCCGGGAATGCCTAACACCTTCTCCCGGGTTAACATAATTCCTTACTTAGAATTTCTAGTTCGCAAGATTTTAAAATAAAGTCGAAATTTCCTCGATTTGGGATTTTTAAATAAATCGGTGACTTGGGATGCCCAAATAAACTATTCCAAGTGGAGAATCTGAAAGAATTAATAAAATAATCCCATTTCGTTTAATGTCACTTAAATTGGAAAAACTCCCTTATATCCACCCTCGGGTGGGAAAAAGAAGGTGTGACAACTCTGACGACTCTGCTGGGGACAGAACCCAAAACTTCTAGTTCAGGGTTCAGAATTCGAGCTTAGAATAACTGTTATACTTGGCTTTATTTATTATCTTATTTTTACATGTTTGAGCCTAATGTACTAAATACCGCTTTTTACCGTTTTGATATTATTGAACTGTATATAAATTATTACGAAATCTTCCTCTCTCTGAGTCTTCTAAATCATCTGGGAAGTGTGCCCTTCGTGTGACTTCTTTTCTGTTAGAGTCATATCCCAATTTTAGAACGAGGTTCGGACAAGTTGCAAAGCCGGTGAAGCTTCTGTATTCCCGGTACGCTGCCCCCCTGGCTCGAGCTGTCCGCTTGGGTAAGACAAGTCTAGAACAATACACCCAGGTTTTTAAACCTAGAATAACATAGCCTCATGTCGGATCCCTAGTAGGAACGTTTGTTTGCATCATGTGCATCTGACTTTGGGGACTCAACACAAGAGTTGAGTCCGTCTAGGATAGGTGTACCCAAATTAAAAAGACCATCCTGATGCATCTTACAAGCTACTTGCGCATTTGTTTGTTTCGGCTTGCATGTTGACCGGCTTTTAGAATAGGGAAAGAAATTCAAAAAAAAAGAATGAAAAAGAGAGAAAAAAATCAAAAAAAGTGAGAGGTAGGTATTTAGAAAGTTCTGAAACTCTGCCGAATTTTTTTTTTTTAAAAAAAGAGGAAAGGTCATTCAAAATGAGCCAAAATTTTCAAGTGCCATATTTCCCTTGCTCAGTCAAAACTAACTGAACTACGCGGGTCTGATTCTCAAGATGTGAGATACGTAGGCAAACTCCATCGGTTCCGGCCCCAATTTAAAAAAAATCCAAAAATAATTTCCTTTAATTCCGTCCTTAGAAACATTTCCTTAGAAAATTCAAGAAAAAATTTTTAAACTCAAAAACAAATAGTTTCCTTCTTTCTAAAGACTTTCATATTGAAAAAAATAAAATAATAAAAATCAATCAAAAATCAAAATCCAAAATAGGGGTTTCCTTTATTTTGAAGTATTTTTCCAAAAACTTCAAAAAAAAAAAAAGAATTAAAACAAAAATCGTTTCCTTGTTTAAAAGTATTTCTTTCAAAAAAACAAAAATATTTTGAAAAATTATAGTCCAAAATATTTTCGCTTTTGTAAATAAATAAAAACTCAGAAATCCAAAATATTTTCTTAAAAGTCCCTCTTTCGAAAATTAAGAGGCAACATCCAAAATCCAAGAAAATATTTTTCTTTCTTCTTTAGAAAAAGAGAAAACAAATGAAAGTTCAAACAAAAATATCTTCCTTTTACTTTTGAAATTCCCAAAGTTCAAATCAAAAGAAAAGGAATTTTCAGAAGTCTTTCTTTCAAAATATAATTTAAAAAAAAAAAAGAATCAAAATCAAAGATCCAAAAAATATTTCCTTTCTTCTTTTAAAGCATTTCTTTCAAAAATTTCAAAAAACATAATAAAGAATTGGAAAAAATATATTTTCCTTTTGCCTCAAAGCTTTCATGGTCTAAGTGTTATAAAAAAAGAAAAAAGAGTTAGTTTATTTACTCCATTCCCAATCTTCCTGAACTACGCAAGATCTGATTCATGCGGTGTCATGATACGTAGGCAATCCCCATCGTATTCGATCATAGCCATAAAATTAACTAAGTGAAAAAAGGAGCGACAAGAAATAAAAAGTAACAAAACAAAAGAGAAAGAGAGAGTGCAAAAATAAAAGAGCGGCAAAAACGAGATGAAAAAATCAAGAGTGATTAAAGAGAGGCAGAAATGCAGAAAAAAGGTACAAAGTGAAAAGGGTTAGTTAAGGCCGGGATGAAACATGCAACCGTTAAAACACATGGTAAAACGTTTAACTGTTTAGGTGCATTGCATTCAAACGTGTGATTTCCTATCTACTAAGCGTCTCAAAACTAACAAGGTTGTTCGATGTGCAAACTAGCCAGGTTTTGGTGGTTGGTTTTGTTCGTAGTATAGCCTCCCCTCCTTTACAAGATCCAAAGGCACAGATGGCCTCCGCAAGCAATCTACCAATCATCGGTCCTGAGGATAGCCCAACATCGGCTATTCTGCAGCTAGAATTAGCAGCTGCTGAAGAGAATAAGATATTGCGTCTCCACATATTGGAAATGTGGGGTGCCTGGTGTAATGGTAGGGAACCGCCAAGTGCAATCCCTGAGTTCTCTGAGTTGATCCCCGGGTCAAGTGAGGTTTCCAACGCCCAGGTGCCCAACCCGCTCATCCTATGCGGGCGCCCTCCAATGCCGTCCAATGTTCCTGGCATGCTTTCTATGGTTCTCCCCCAGGCCCCAGTTTCCAGGGCACCTCCAATATTGTTTTCTGTAGTACCAATCTGCACCAGAGTACAACCAACTTTACCACGGTCGTATATTGAGCCTCCAATGTTCACCTTTCAAGGTTCATAGCTTCAATCAGAAATAACATATATGACCCCGTACTTTTTCACTCAACCTTTGCAATATGATCTCTCGGGGGAGCAAGAAAAGGTTGTTAAAAATCCCGAGCAAGAGGAAATGGCTCGGAAGATGAAGAGCTTAGAACAAAGCCTGAAAAACATGCAAGGTCTGAGTTGCCAGAAGAGTGTCTCATACTCTAACCTCTGTATGTTTCCCCATGTCTACTTTCCAGCTGGCTTTAAGATGCCAAAATTTAAAAAGTACGACAGGCATGGAGACCCGGTCGCTCACCTGAAATAATATTGTAACCAGTTGAGAGGTGCTGATGGAAAAGAGGAGCTGCTCATGGCCTATTTTGGGGAAAGCCTCACCGGAATCGCTTCTGAGTGGTATACGGATCAAGAAATTACCCATTGGCACGTGTGGGATGATATGGCCCAAGATTTTGTTCGACAATTCCAGTATAATGTGGATATTGCTCCCGATAGAAACTCTTTGTCCAATTTGAAAAAGAAAACCGCGGAAAGCTTCCCCGAATATGCCGTCAAATGGCGTGAGCAGGCTACCAGGGTAAAGCCATCAATGGACAAAATTGAAATGGTCACGATTTTTCTGCAGGCCCAAGAGGCTAACTACTTCCAGAACATGATGTCTGCTGTGGGTAAGTCGTTCGCTGAGGCTATCAAAATTGGGGAAATGGTTGAAAACGGTTTAAAAACAGGTCGAATCTTGAGTCATGCTACTTTTAAGGCCACATCACAGTCTGCTCAGAATGGTTCGGAGGGTTTGATGAATAGAAATGGGAGTGAAGAGGGAGCCATGATGGTTTCAAGCTCGAGGGGGCCCGCAGGTCATTCAGCCAATCATATGTGCCTCATATCGCCGCACTACACTATTATCCCCTTCAAGACTCTACTTATGTTGTGGCACCGCCTCCCTATGCGGTGATGAACGTGCAACCTTACCCGCGGCCACAATATTATCCACAAAATCGAGCTCCACCTCCTAGAAATGCTCATCCTTACCAAGCTCCATATAATATTCAACCAAATGATTCCCAATGCAATCCTCGCCCAAGAGAGCCTTTCAGAAAGAATCAGTTCACCCCTATTGGTGAATCGTATTCAAGCTTATTCCAAAAGCTAATCAGGCTAAATCTATTGAAGCCAGCAGCCCTGAACCGGCTGAACCCCGAGTCCCAATCACACCGAGCTGATGCTATATGTGCATACCACTCTGGAGTAGTGGGACACACTATAGAGGACTGTTGGACCTTCAAAGGGGCAGTTGAAGATTTGTTTGAAGCTAAAAGAATCTTTTTTCGGGATGAAGAAGCTCCTGATGTGATGAACAATCTGTTGCCTGCCCACAACATCGGGCCAATAGTCATAATGATTTGTGAAGCTGAGGAATTTGATCCGGCACTGAAGGCCATTGCAACCATTGCCGAGACAGAAGAAAAGTCAAAAAATGGTCACCAAGCCTGAAAGTTCCCCATCAGACGGGAGTCTCGGTAGCCAGTATTGCTATCCTTTCTGCGTCCGGATTATCTCAGGGTGTGATCCGAATGTTTTACCTTATTGTCTTACTTTTCGATGTAAACCCTTTTATCTTCAAAAGAATGAAAAAAAATCAAAAAATCAAAATTAAAAATCAAAAAAATTAATATTTCATTGTCCAGGAATGTCTCTTTTCTTAATATTGTCATTTTTTTTTCTTAATCTCTTTTTAGTTCTGTTAAATGCAGATTTTAATAACATGAAATGCTTGCGGACATCATGCCCGGATCCTGAAAGCTGTCAGAACTCGAAATATTGAATCAAGAATTAGGTCGCAATGAAGAGAAGTTTAAGGAAATAAAACAAAGAGTTGGAGCAGCTGAAGGAAAATTGGTTCTAGATTGGAAAGGTCCATACATTGCAACAAGCGTACTGCCAAAAAAGTGCGTTGTACTTGGGACACATCGAAGGAAATGTCCCTCAAACAATTGTCAATGCAAATGTAGCCAAAAGGTGGTATGTTGATCCTCCATATAGTGTTAATATTCTCCGGTTGGGATGACGAAGGCTTTCATTCTCGCTAACCAAACATCATTAACCCTTTTGTAAACCATTTGAGCTGGTTACTCTTCTTTGATTACCTTCCTTGGAACCTGAAAGTATTATTGAAAAAAAAAATTGAAATTGAAACGTTGAAAAAAAAAATTTGAAATTTAAACATTGAAAAAATGAAATAAAAAAAAAGAAATGAAAAAAAAATAGGAAGAAAAGGCAAAGAAAATTAAATGAAAAAAAATGAAAAAAAGAGGAAAAGCAGAAAGGAAAAAGAAGGAGAAAACAAAACAAAACAAAACAGAAACAAAGTTCCCTGAACTACGTTCGACTTGATTTCGAAAGGATACATAGGTAGCCTCTCTTTGGGGGTTCGGTCACACCAAAATAAAAATCTAAATTCCCCCAAAGTTAAAACTGGGACAGAAGTTACAATGGTTCGGCGATGGGTTTGCCTGAAATGTTCCAAGGTTGTAATTCAATCCAAAAACTTTTTACCCCAAACCTTGTTCAAGTCCTTATGATCATTCGGCAAGAGGTTCAAAACGGGAGGATACAGTCAGTTGGATCTGACACATAAAAATTAGAAAAATAAAATGAGAGAGTCTTATTTGTGAAAACCCACACGAGCACCGTGAGGCGACATTAAGAAGAGAAATTAAAAATGAGAGAGTCTTGTTAGTGAAAACTCGCAAAGAGTACTATAAGGCAACAGTGAGAAAAGAAATGAGAGAGGTCAGCTCGTGAAAACTCGCAAAGGGCGCCCCTGATTGAAAAGAGGATCCTCACAGCCATCGACATCGATAGATCCTGGCAAGGTTACTCGATTTTGAGGCAAAACTTGTGATGAATTTCTGAGAGTCGAGAGATTTACATAGATCACGCATCCAGTTCAAAAGGCACTTCATGTTCATTGAAGTCCGCATGTACTCCAGAAAAGTCCTTCTTTCCTTTCCCTGAAAGGGACACTTTTTGTTTACCCTCATTCTTTATTCATTGTTTGTTTTCTTTGAATCCCTTTCAGCCTAACTCTGTTCCGAAACTAAGACAAAGAAAGGTTGGTAAGACTGATTTACAGGGCTTCCGTTTGACACGAGCTAATGTGCAAAAAGGCACCCAGCCTCGTCAGGGGCATCAAGTCGACCTCGACTGGCCATGGTGGCCGATACTTCGAAATCAAAATTCTTGGAAAAAGAAAATCAAATTTAAGTGCCTATAAAGGCAAATGAAGCTGAAATGGTTGAGTACCACGTGGCTAACCGTCTCGGCAAAAGTTTGAAAAGCCAAGGTACCCCTAACTCTTTGAAATAGAAGTTGGAAGAAAGAAGCTAGAAATGAAAGGCTTATGAAGGTGGAAAAAAAGTTGGAAAAGGTTAAGTCCCACACGACTAGCCATTGAGACAAAGTTTGAGGAGCCAAAAGTTCCCAAACGCTCCGAAGTTTAAAAAAAGAAAAAAAGAAGAAGATAAAGAAGTCGGAAGGGAAAGGCCTACGAAGAAAAAATAAAGTCGAAAAGGTTGAGTTCCACCGACCAACCATCATGGCAAAGTCTGAAAAAAACAGAGGTTCTCAAGGGCCTGAAATGAAATCGGTCCTTAGGGAACAAACAGTTGCAGTTGAGATCTTCATCCAAGAAGCTGGGCCGAGACCGAGTGATTGAAACAATCAAGGCCACAAAACCAACTACCGTTTCAAACTAACAATTGTTCTTTGTTTGAAAATATGAAACATGTACAATCCAAAGCAACCTTGCAAGAAGCAGGTGCAACCAAACAGAAACTGCGGAAGAGCTAGAAAAAGCTTTGCGGCAAAAATCAATCCAAAAGGGAAGTCTCCTCTAAATTCTTTCCTCCATTTTTACTCATTTTCTTAAATAAAACAAAACAAAAAAAAGAAATGAAAAGAAGAAGAAGAAGAAGAAGAAGAAGAAGAAGAAGAAGAAGAAGAAGAAGAAGAAGAAGAAGAAGAAGAAGAAGAAGAAGAAGAAAAATTCAAAATCATGGTAGCATAGAGTCTCCAATCTCTAGCTACGTATTGCCCAACATAGGGTCTCATTCCCTAGTCGCTGCCAGCATAACCTGGTAGTCTTCTCCAGTACATGATCCCACTCCCTAGTCTGCTTTTCCAACATAGGGTCCCCACTCCCTAGTTGATTTTATTTTAGGCATAGGGTCTCCACTCCCTAGTCTGCCTTTCCAACATAGGGTCTACACTCCCTAGTTGATTTTATTTTAGGCATAAGGTCTCCACTCCCTAGTCGCGTTTTCCAACATAGGGTCTCCACTCCCTAGTTGATTTTTGTTTAGACATAGGGTCTCCACTCCCTAGTCACTTTCCCAACACAGGGTCTCCACTACCTAGTTTATTTTAGTATACATATAGGGCTCCACTCCCTAATCTTTTTTTTCCAAGGATAGACAATCCTGATTTTATTGCTTTCAATAAAGAAATAGTTTAGATTTTTGTTACAATAACTCATGAAATTTTCCTAGCAAAAACTGGGGCAGAAAAATTTTGTTAGTTTGTTTGCTTTGGTGCCTAAACAGGTTTTCACCGTGAGGCACAAGGGTTTAAATGACCAAAAGAAGAAGTCTTAACCCAAATAAAAGAAAAAAAGAAACTAGAAAAGAAGTTAAACTCTGAGTGTGGAAGCGGAGAAAAGATGCGGACTGCCTAAGCCATGGTTGAAGTCATAAGCTTTGCATGTACCGCCTTTATCTGAAAAGCAGAAGAAGATGAACCAGTGGTTGCAACTAACGAACATCAAGATTCAGGTCGGAGTCTGCTGGAAGAACCATCCAAGACTCAAGATCAAGCTTTAGAAGGTTTATAGATAGGAATCTTGTAACTCGTAGTTTGATAGGATTAGCTAGTTTAGCTTTTGATCTTTTTATTTCGGTGTAATAAGGAGCTCAGCAAGCAGAAACAGCAGCAACAACAGTGAAATCATAGTTTCCCGGTAGTCCCAGCTACCAAAACTTCCAGAACTACACTGACCTGATTCCTTTATAGCCAAAGATATGTAGGCAACCTCCGAAGCAGGGTTCGGTCAGACCTTTTTAAAAAAATGCTTCCCATGGAGTTTCAAAACGGTCAAAAATCCCTCATAATTGCTCATTTTGTCTTTGCTCGAAAACTCTTCATGTTTCCGAGCAAAGAGGGGCAGCTGTGAGCATATGATTTTTGCCCTATACGAAATACCCCTATAAAATCCCAAGAAAATAGGTTTTCTGTTAATTATTTGCCATTTTAGTAATTTTATAGAATTTTATTTAATTGTTTGCATTTTATGCATATTTACATTTTATTTAAATAATGAAAATATCAAAAATACCATGCATTGCAATTAGGATTGGTTTTTACATTTTTTTAGGATTAATCAGTAATTATTTATTTTATAGAAATTTGAAAATCCCAAAAATAACTCATTTTACATCTTTTGCCTTTTAATTTTTAATTTATTGATTTTTCTCTTTTTAGAATTAAGTGATGTATATAAATCTTATAATTAGATAATTAGCTTAATTTTACAATTTGGATTAATTTAAGATTTTAATTCAAGTAAAAGAAAAAGAAAAACAAAGGAAAAAGGAATAAAAGAGGTAATTAAAAAAAGGGGTTTTAATATGAATTTGGGTTAATTCTTTGTACCAAATTGGCCCAATTCTTCCCCAAAGCTAACCCAGATCCAAGCTCAAATTCGAACCAACCCCAGTCCAAATACACTTGAACCCATCAGCCCAAATCTCATCCCCTTTTAATTAAAACCTAGCTCCTAGACCTAGGATAGAGATCAAATTTAAGACAAAAAAGAAGACCCTCCCCTTAGAGAAAAATCGAAAACGGTGCTCCCCCTCCTCTTGAGAACAATCAGATCTAATCCCTCACAGATTACACCTAAGGATATGAAAAAAATAAGAGGCTCCTCTCTAAAAGAAGCGTCGTTCCCCTCTTCTTCTCCTACACTGCTCGTTCACACATAGAGAACACACTCTTTCCCTCCCATTTTTCTCTGATTTCATCAACACACACATGCTGAAACCTTTGGTAACAAGTAGAAATTACAGAATCTAGAGCTGAAATTAGAAGGTGACGAAGCTTAATTTCAGCCTCAAATTTTTATTTTATTTTCCACATTTTTCTCAGAATTTCGGAGCTTGATGAAGCCGTAAAGATTACTTCGAAGCTGAGAGTTGTTGGAACTGTTTGATTATGAGCTCGTTGTTGTTTGTTGGCTGGAGCTTCTTGAGTTTTGCTTCTAGGTATGTTTATATACTATGTCGCTCTACATCGGATCATGAAATGAAACTTGCTTTATTAGTTTCTGCCCAGTTCTGTAAGACCAGTTGGCTCAATTGTTGATTTTAGCTTTGAACTCCTCTCTTTGTTTATCTCTAGTTACAGTAGCATAATTTAAATATTTGAGTACGATGTTGTTTTGTGGATGAAACTAACATCTGTCTGCTAAATTTTACTCACATAAAAGTTATAGATTTGTGGGTCTAAATCTATTATGTTTTCGTCTTAGTATTTGTACTTGAAAAAAGATTGCTTCTCTTGCCTAGTTGTGCTTTGTGGTGGTGAAGTACCTGAATGCATATTTATACCAAATGTTTTATTTATGCAGAATAATTAATGTCATACAATTTAGCACCTTATGTTAGCTTTTCTCCATTTGATTTTCATTCTTTATGCTCAAAAGTTCAAGAATCTTTTCCAGTTGCCTTCTGGTTTTTAATTGGAGTAAATGATTTTGGAAGTCCTAATTTTTAGCGGTTATTAAAAATAGAAACTAATTACTAAATGAAAGACATATTTGGTTTCAGCAGTGTGCGAGGCTAGTTGATTTGTAATTGAAATTTGGTTGCCTTAAGTTGAAATGACTTGCCATATTTTGTTTGGGTAATAATAAAAGATTACGTAAAGTTATGAGCGGCCATTTTAAATACCTACTGTTTTGATACAATTGTTTTGCAGATGGTGCTACTAATTCATTTTTTATATATATAGTGCATTTGTCTACTTTTTCTCGTAGATATTTTCATGTTTTAACTTTTTTTTTTCTCGTTTCATCTTTAATTAGGATTCACAAATGTCATTTCATCTTCTGATTCAATGTCGGCATCTCATTATGTGGCGGCCTAATCTAACTTTGGTAAATAGGATATTCAATCTGCATGTTTTCAGAAATCATCCATAAGATAACATTTCACAACAAATCTTAGACATAGAAATATTATTAATCTTTTGTAACATCATAGTTTGCTATAGGCGCGTAATAATAAATCATCGTGACTATGGGTACGGTTCCTGTGGCATGGTCACAATACGTAATCACCAATTCGGGTGTGCATTTCATGTGACCCGATCATAACAACTTCGAATAATAATAAAATAAACATGTCGCAAATCGTGGGTGCATTTCATGTAGCATGGTTTGTGGTGTGTTCCAAAATGGCAAGTGTACGACAATCGTAACTTGTTCAAGAAATAATTCCATAAATCCTAAAAAGCAGTAAAATAATTAAAAGCTGTTATAAAGCTAAAAATGCACAATTGGTTTAAAACAAGCAGTAAATCAGATAATAGGTCAATTATTAATAGTTTAAGCGACCGTGCTCGAACCACGGAACCCGGGAATGCCTAACACCTTCTTCCGGGTTAACAGAATTCCTTAAGTAGAATTTCTGGTTCGCAGGCTTTTAAAATAAAGTCGAAATTTCCTCAATTTGGGATTTTTAAATAAATTGGTGACTTCGGACACCCAAATAAACTATTTCAAGTGGCGATTCTGAAAGAATTAATAAAATAATTCCATTTCCATTAATGTCACTTAAATTGGAAAAACTCCCTTATATCCGCCCTCGGGTGGGAAAAGAAGGTGTGACAATACTCAAGCTACTGAAGAGTCAAATGAAGAAGAGATGCGAGTAAATCTGGATTTACTTGAAGAAAGGAGGGAAACTGCCCTAATAAGAACGGCACCGCAAAAACAAGTTACTGAGCGATATTATAATCAGAAAGCTCGTCTCAGATACTTCAAGATTGGGGACTACGTACTCAAGAATATTTTTCAATCCACAAGAGTAGCCAATGCAGGAAAGTTAAGTCCAAATTGGGAAGGGCATTACAAGATTCGTGGTATCGTAGGAAAAGGTGCACATGAGCTTGAAACCATGGATGACAAGATTCTGCCGTCAAGTTGGAATGTTGTTCATCTGAAGAAGTACTATTTCTAAGGGAAGGAAATACCAACAGTCAGGTATCCCCACTTACAATGTTTATTTTTGAATTTTTAAAGTTATACTAAAAATTTTAGATGATAGGCAAAAAGCTAGACCACACCAAACGATGAAATTAGACCTGAAAGACACGCGGAAGAAACATAATTCCCGGTCTAGGGTTACAACTATTCTGATGGAAATATAATGGGTTAAGCAGTCTTCATCTAAATTATACCTCCGAGTCCCATATTTTTTTTCTTTTCATGAAAAGGACCGCATGGAAGGAATAATCAAGTGCTCGAGATTCCATACTTCAAAGCTCAAACACTTGGGGGACTATATAATATACATATAATATATGTATAAGGAAGGAAATAAAGGCTGAAACAATTAAATTTCAAGTCAATCCTAAAGTCTACTCAACAAATATCATGTTCAGAGCAAAATCACGAGCCAAAAATGCAAGCCCAATTCAAAAACCTGTGAAGAGTACACCCGTGGATGTAGATTTCAAAATCTTACGAATGTTTAGGTTAAAGGCAGTATTTAGGCATGGGTCATAAAGAAACCCTTGAATTTTCTTTTTTACAAATCTATTGTAAAGAAAACAGTTACGGAAGAGTTATAGAAGATACTTAAATACATGTAAGGTATTACTCAGTTCGAATGAAATAAAACTTTTCTCAAAGTTATTCCAAGAAACATGTGTGTTCCTATTTCTCCTTTCGTATGTTTACACCATTATGAAGTTGAGACATCTTCTTCATTAAGTGTCGTATATAAAAGAGCCCTCTTTTATAATTCATGCTTGATTCAAATAAGTCATGAAATTAGCTAAGCATTTTTAAATGCAAAAGTTAAAAGGGTAAAACAAAAACCCGCGTATTCAATTGAAGTGGAAAACAAAGCCTTAAACTTAAAAGGAAAAATCAAGGGCAAACCACTAAAAGAGTAAAATAGAAATTCAAATCAAAGGTATCATAAAAGTTGAGCACAAACTTTTACATATCTTAAATAACTTAGTTAAAACTAAGTATGAACTTAGTCCTAACCTAATTGTCATTATAAACCCCCGAAAAGGACTGGAGGAATGATGTTACCAAAAAATATTACCCCTAAATGGGACCAGGGGTAAAACCACCAATTGTTCACCAACAAAACAAAAAAAATCTAGTAACTTCACAATTAAACTTTCACTATAGAGCAGATTCTGAACCAGTATTCAAGATGGCATCATCAAAAGCAGAAGGATCAACTTGATCAGAAGGAGCTGGGACATCTACTACGCCAGGATTAGCTTCAACAATTTCGGGAGAATCAGCCATGGGTGAAGAAAAACTTTGGCTTTGCTGAGTTTTTTTAATTGTCTCCTTAATCTTTGCTAACTCAACGTCCAAGTTAAAACCTTCCTAGCTTACCTCCATAAGAGTATCATAGCGGGTGTTCAAAATGGCCCAACTTGCTTCAATAGCGGCCTTGAGCTCTTCTCTCTTAGCTAAAGCAGCATCATAAGAAGCCTGTAACGGGGCAAGCGAACTCTCCAAAAACCTAACTTTATCGGTGGACACTCAAAGGTCTTTTTGGGCTTGAGTGAGCATTTGAACAAGCTCACTTGCATAAACTTCTTTCTCATCTAGCAAGGCTTTTAGACCTCTGATCTCTTCTGTTGCCTTAGAGAGTTGTTCAGCAAAAGATGACTCAAGAAGGTGTTTGTCCTTGCCTGCCTGGTTGGAAGAGGCTTTCTTAATTTCTAGCTCCGCTGCCATGACTTTTATGTGTTGCTCCAAGGTACATTTATTCTCCTCTAAAACTTCCATCTCAAGCTGAAGACTTTTATATTGTTCTTTCCAATTATCAGCCTCAATCTGATAGTCATGCATCAGTTGCTCCGTATGGGAAACCCTTTTCATCATCTCCGTACCGATGAGATTAATCTACATAAAAAAGGATGAGAATTCTAGTAAAGGGAAATTATGTTAGGTAAAAAGGGAAGCCTATACCTTCAATGATGATTGCACAATGTCGTTAATCCAAGTCAAAGAACTGTGACTCTCCAGTTTTGACTTTTCCACTGGACCTATCAAGGGTTTTAGCCATACATAAGCTTGGCCCGACTTCTTCAGAAGATTACCATCAACAAGAACCTCAATGGTAATTTTCTTCATTGCCCTGCTACCACTTGAAGAACCAATTTCATGACGAGAAGTATTGGTATCAGGAACGGTTGAAGAAGTTATAATAGCTTCGGGTTGAGCAGGAACATCAACGGGGGAATAGGCACATGAGATTCCATTGGAACTAACATTGGAAAGGAAGCAAGAGGTGTTTCCTTAGAAACCAAGTCAAAATTTTCATTGTCAAACCTACGTGAAAAGATGTGCTCAGTAGAGTCATGGGGTGCCACAAGCGTCTCTTCATCAGAACATACTAAAGTGGCTTCAATAGGTTCGATCACTAAAATAGAACGAGGAGGAGGAGTAGCTTCGTCTTCCGAAATGACGCGTCTTCTAGACCGCGGTTTACGCACTAAAGAGCCTCCATCCCGCTCCTCTTCATCTTCAGAATCTTGTAGTCTATCAACCTTTCTTTTCGATGAAGAACTCAAGATTGTCTCTTGATCTCTTTCCAAGGAAATTGTAGACACTGCGATTGACTCAGCACTCACTCCTCGAATAGCAAACCCTGATAAAAAGAAAGGTTAATAAATTCTAAAGATAGAGTAGTCAAAGGGAAAAGAATGGAGAAAATAAAAAGTTTTACCATGAGTCTTAACCTTCCAGCCAAACCTATTCGAAAGGTACTTCCAAGACCTTACTTCCATCAAAGCAATTCTCAACAAATTTTTTACACAACCATGAAAATTGGGAATCTCTTCAATAGTTCCATGGTTGCTGAAAAAGAAAAATAAAACAGTTACGGGAAGTATAAACTCTTAAAAAAAGAGGAAGTTGTAAAGAAAACTTACGTGCAAAGTTCCACTTCTCAGGGACGAGAATATTTCTTCACCTACTAACACTTTTGTAGGAGCAGCAACAAATCGGGCGTACCAGCCACGATCTTTATCGTCCTCGGGGCTAACTAAAACCCTCTTACTCCTCGCCACTAGAGTTAAAATTCCATGATGGAATAATTTCGGAGAATAAAGGTGGATTAAATGGTAGAAGGTGAAAGGCAACTGAGCCAAATTGGCCAAATACCTTAAGCATGCAACAACCCTCCATACAATAGGGTCAATTTGTCCTAAACACACATTGAAGAAGCGACAGAATTCAATAATGACTGGATCAATAGGAGGTCTAAAGTCTAATGTAAAGGGATATGTGTACACAAAAGAAAAGCCATCTTTGAAAGAAGTGATCTTTTGATTTGCATTAGGGATCAGAATTAGGAAATCAAACTTCCAATGACAATCCCTACGAACAACAGAGATCAAACCTTCAGTAATCTGTGAAGGATAAACATCAGCATGATCATGAGAGGACATAGAGGAAACCTGATTTCTATTCGACTCTCTATCAATATAAAAAGAAAGCTCAGCGAGGATACTCTCGTCTACTATAGGTTCACGAATCGGCTCGTTGGAATCCCTGCTTCTAGCTGAAGACCTATGCGAAACAGAAGTCCTAGTTCTAGAAGACGATGGAGGAGTAGAACTAGGTTGAGGAGAAGAACCTCGAATGGAGACTGATTCTAAACTACGTAGCCTACCACCTCTCATGCTTCTGGTAGGAGCAGGGGGGAGTTCATCTACGATAAGGACCTTTTGAGGATCAAGGTTTGAAGAATACATAGCTATACGAAGGTGAAGAAAAGGTTGAATGGCAAAGTATGAGAAACTTTTTCGTGAAAGAAAAGGCAAAGGGTATATTTATACTCAGAAGCAACCGTCAAACAAAAAGGTAATGATGGAAACGTCATTATGAAAACTGTCACTTTGTGATTGATGCATCCGTAAAAAAGCCTTAAAAGACGCTGAAGAACTGCAGAACCAATCAAAAGCCATCATGTGTACATGCATTAAATGGAAGTGACATGCGAAGCGTCAGTTCAGGAAAAGGTATAATGGTATGTGAGAACAGCGGCAAAAATTCCCGCTTTAATGAGTTTCCGAAATATTCAATTGTTGAATAAATGGCAAATGGGGGGACTATCTGTATTGGGGAAAATCGACTTAGCATTTGGAATTAATTATGTGGCTGACATGTCAAGACACGTGGATTAATATAAGAGTGACAGCTAGCAAATAGTACTCAAAAAGACGCGGGTCTTAATATGTACGGGCAAAGGTTCAAGAAAACAAGAAGGAACAGTTACTCGGGTCTCTTGATATTTTAAGAGACACCAGAAGAATGAACCAAGATAGCAAAAAGTACAGGTACGTAATATCTGCAATTAATGAGCATAAATGATGAGGAACGTTATGGAATCTTCACGAAACAGTTACGATTGCCAATTATAACGTTTCATTAATATCATTAATTGCTCAAAATGGCTCTATTATGAAAGGAAAGAAACGTAGTACTTAGAAACAGCTATAAAAGGAGGGGGGATAACATTTGTATGGACACACTGATTATTATGGGAATATACTTATCTACATTGCTTTATATTGCTTACTCGGCTACTTCTCAGTCCAATTTTTCTTTTCTTATTACATAATTATTTCATTATTTGATTATCAGTAACCCGAATTCTTCTAAAATTACGCTTTGACCAAAATTCCTATTTTCTGGTTAAACATTGGGGTCGTGACAAGAAGATACAGTTATATCCTTTTTATTTTGTTAGAATTGTGGGATGGCCAAAAAAAAGGGAGTAAATATATGGAAATATATATCACATTACCCATGGTTTAGACCCATTTTTAGTTAATTGAATCTACACCACTAATATTAAAAGGAAATATGTGTCATCCATCCAAGTAGGACTTGGGGGAATGGAGATAATAGAAAATAGAAAGGAGTTGTATCCGGCAGAAGACTATCCTATAAGAGGGAATGTAAAATAAACGTGAACCAAGTCGGTTTTTTGATTTGATAGTTTTATGGCTTATCCGCAATTTAGTTTCATGAATTATCATTTAACTTTTACTTTAGTGTATCAAAATTATTAAACTATTTTTTGTAACAGAACAAGTTATCAAACTTTATCCAAATTTCACCACTAAACTCTTTTTCGTAACTAAAAAGTGAATCATCAATAATCATGACCGGCCATTTTTTTTCATAGAGATTGAGAGAGTTCTCACTTTTCATGCCACTAATGGAACTTTATCATGACTCTTTCTCAATTATTCCGAGAAAGATAAAAAACAAATTCTAGTAGTTCAGAGCTTTCTCCAACAACTTCTTCATAAGTGATTGTCTAAATACTACAAAATGTCACTAAAAGGAAACAAATAAGATGGTTTGAGTAATACTCAGGCAAAGTTGAGAGAATTTATAATTACAACAAATAGTTTAGCGATATAATTAAAGTGATGTTGAGTGATTTAGCTTTTGACATGCACGACCAAATTCACACAGTAGATCCTGATGACTCTTCTTGTCTGAACTAAACCAATAATGGAACTTTAATTTAATTTGTTGGCCATGTGGTTTAGAAAAATAAGACTCCTGGGGATGTAGACTACTACTATATTTACCATCTCTCATTTTATATCGGAGTTAGATATCTTTCATGTTTTGTATTCAATTCTGAAACATATTTGAAAAGCATTGTACTTATCAATAAGATTATGTTATCAAAACAAACAAATTCACAGCTGTTCTTGCTCTGACCCTACCAGGCTCTAAGGATGAACGAGTCAGTGAGTATTGAGTATCAAAACAATGAGTGTTCACACTGTTTTAGGGGGACCTAGCTAGCGGCGGACCAGGATTTGAAGGTCGTAGTATACTCTTTTATTTAATCAAAATCTGCTTTGTATATAGGGTGTCACTATTACTGCGTCACTATTTTCTAAAGATATATATGTATACATGAAATTTTTGTCTCGAGTGCCGGTGACCCTATCTTTATAACATAGGTCCGTCTCTGGACCTAGCTTGTACCCAATAAATTTTTCCAAACCTTTGTATATATTTCGAAATTTACTAAATATTTGATTATAAAAGCAGCTATTATTGTATATAAAAACTTAAGGAACCCGTAAATTTCATATCCCGAATCTGCCTCCAGGCTTAGTTCCACCTGTATATGTTGGCCCCCGTCGACCGGGGGAACATGATCTCCGCACTATTAACATCTGCTTCCATCAAGTCATCTGTCAACATACAGTTCCCCAACCCATCGACAATAGCACAATTACAGTGAAACAAAGCCTGGCCACAGCTCAGCCATTCCTCAATGACAAGAGGTGTTTGATAAAAAGAAAAATAATGATACCTCCTGAAGTTTCATAAATATAACCAACAGTGGTATATGCTAAAGGATCTATATATGGTACATACTAATTAAGCCTGCTATATATAATTGTGACTTCCGTTAGAACATGCGCAGCGGAAGCAAGCATACAATTCAGACATAAAATATATGTAAACTATTCAACGCAATAATAACAAGATTAGAAGCACTAACCTCTTGAAATCGTTGCACAAATCTTCTAAACAGTAAGAATCCAGGGCTGCAGTCTTCTGTTATATGCCTAGTAAAACCTTTGGACGATTTTGCTTTTGGGTGGGCAAGAACAATACAACTCTAAAAGGTGAGTTATTGCGTGAAATTAGTCTTGCTTTAACAGAGTTACTTTAGGCCGAAATTATGCTCCAAAAATGTGTAGGATTCTGCTTCTACAAGTAGAATCCTACTCCAACTCTATTAGATGACTTTTCTCCCTAGTCACTTTTTATCCAAGTCTTGTCCAGGTTTTTACTAGGTATAGCAAGGACCACAGAAATAATAAGAGGGTACCAATTATAGCATTAATTCGAAATTAACATAAATTAATTCTTACTATAATTAATTGCAATTTATTCTACAAAAAAACTACAACTGAACTCCTCAATATAAATTTCAAAAATTCAGTAACACTTATTTTAACTCCTCATGTTAAGATCTCAAATACCAGTTAATTAAATTAAATCACTGAAAATTTAATTTAATCAACTAATTAAGTCCTTTACAATTCCGTTTAAACTATTTCATGTGACGGATACAAAATCCACCTGCCGGGTTTTCACATGAAAACTTATAAGCTTACATAAAAGGGTATCATCAAACTCAAAACCGAGTCATGGATTCTATCAACTAATTATTATTCACAAATGTTATTCGTTATTGTCCAATCTATTAGGCATACACTAACTCTGAATAGAGTCGTACCTTTTGATAAATCAAAACAATAAACAAATTACATTAATCATAATAATTATATCAAGATTAGGAGTATAATCTCATTTAATGAATTAGAGAAAATATTTTATATATTCAATACAAAAATATCTTTTCTCTACTTGCTCCATTCAATATACACTGAGTATACTAGCACAAGAATTTGGAGTTAAACTACTCCCATAATCAAGACAAATTATACTATAATCTTGTGCTACAATCATCAAGATATTTTGTCCAACAATATCTTTGATTGTGAACATAGTTTATTAATTACGAGAAGCAACAATTTAATCTTTTGTGCATGAGCTAAGACTCCATACACTAAATTGTCTACTACATAACTAAAAGGACACACATGTAATAAATGATCTATTTAAAATAATACTTTATTGAATTGAATAAATTAAATCAACAATTGTTCCATAAAGAATAAAATATAATACTATGTCTAAACCGCACGGTTAATAGTATATCTCAACAATCTCCTACTTAGACTCATAACCATGCGTCTACTATTCTAACACCCATTCCTTCTACATGTTTGTCTAAAATCTTCTGTGTCAAGCTCTTTGTAAACGGGTCTGCCAAATTGTCCTCTGACGCAATCTTCAACACTCTTGCATCACCTCTCTGAGTTATGTCCCGAATTAAGTAATACTTATGCTCAATATGCTTACTCCTTTAGGGCTTCTTGGTTCCTTCGAGTTTGCAACTGCACCACTATTGTCACAATAAAGTAGAATCGGTGCTTGAACCGAAGGAACCACATTAAGCTCTTTCGGAAAGTTCCTGAGCCAAACAACCTCTTTAGCTGCCTCAGATGCAGCCACATATTCGGCTTCCATGGTGGAATCAGCAACACATGATTGCTTGATGATCCTCCAACTTATAGCTCCACCTCCTAAGGTAAAAACATATTCTGAGGTAGATTTTTAAGAGTCTTTATCTGACTGGAAATCTGAATCAGTATAGCCAATGGGTGCAAGATCTCCTGAGAGATACAACAACATATAATCCCTAGTACTTTTCAAGTACTTGATTATATGCTTAACAGCAGTCCAGTGTTCTCGACCAAGGCTAGACTGAATTCTACTAACCATGCCAATGGCAAAGCAGATGTCAGGTCTAGTACATAGCATAGCATACATAAGACTCCCTACAGCAGAAGCATAAGGGACCGCCTTCATCTTTTCTATCTCATCAGTCGTTTTTAGGGACTGATCTTTTGACAGAGAGATTCCATGTCTAAAAGGGAGAAACCCTTTCTTGGAATCTTGCATGCTAAACCTGGTGAGAATAGTATCAATATAAAGTGCTTGGGACAAGCCTAATATCCTCTGCTTATGATCTCGCATAAGCCTGATCCCAAAGATATATGCTGCCTGTCCCAAGTCTTTCATATCTAAACGTGAGGACGACCATTCCTTTACTAAATTCAACATGCTCACATTATTTTCTATGAGCAAAATATCATCTACGTACAAAATCAAAAATATAACTTTATCTCCATTCCACTTCTTATAGACACAAGACTCATTTTCACATTGATCAAAACCGAAGGTTTTAACTGATGCATCAAAAAACGTATTCCATGCCCTAGAAGCTTGTTTCAATCCATAAATGGATTTCTTTAATTTACACAACATGTGCTCATTGCCAATTTTAATGAAACCAACTGGTTATGCAATATAGATGCACTCATCAAGACTTCCATTTAGAAAAGACGTCTTGACATCCATTTTCCAGATCTCATAATCGTAATGAGCAGCAATGGATAAGAGAATCCTAATGGATTTAAGCATGGCTACTGGCGAAAAGGTTTCCTCATAATCGATCCCTTCTTTTTGAGTAAACCATTTTGCAACAAGCCTAGCTTTAAAAGTTTGCACTTTTCCATCCACTACTCTCTTTTTCTTATAGATCCATCCACAACCAATGGGTTTGACTCCAGTGGGTGGTTCTACAAGATCCCAAACTTGATTGGAGTACATGGAGTCCATTTCAGATTTTATAGCATCAACCCATTTATCAGCATCTATATCTTGTAGTGCTTCGTCGTAATTAATAGGTTATGTATTAGGCTCTTTAGGGATTCTATCATAAGATTCTCCCAAGAGCACAAACCGGAGAGATTTTCTAATAATTCTCCCACTACGACTAGTCACTACAAGTGGAGGCTGATTTTGTTGTTGAATCACAACATCATTTTCTGGAACTGAAGCCTCAATGTTATCCTTCACACCTTGCGGTGCTGGGATATCATTAACTTCTTCCTGGAGTGCAGCCTGCAGAACAATTTCAGGTTGTTCAACAATCTGAAGTTGCTCAACATTACTCCCACTACTTTCGAGTAGTGAGATGTTAGGCAATTGCTCTTGTGCAATCTGCTTCATGTTGACATTTCTCCCACTACTATAATGCAGTGGTATGTCAATATTGGCTTCTGGATACTTTCTAGAGATGAGTTTTTAGTTACTCCATTATTTAATTCCTGTAAAACTAGTTTACTTCAAGGAATATGGTTCGTTAAATAGTCCTCTTCTAAAAATCTGGCATTTGTCGTAATTGTTTAACCAAAAATCTGAGTCTTTGGTCAAAGCTAAAAAGAAATTCGGGTTACTGATAATCAGGAGACAAAATAAAATACTTTTGAGAATGATGGTAAAAAAAACAAATAGTTGTGTATTTCAATGAATTCTCAATAGTATTCTGTGTCCTTACAAATGATGATACTTCTTCCTTTTATAGATAATTCTAGGTAAAGGAATGAAGCCTCAGCTTTAATGATATAATTATGAGTAATAAATGACATTAAATAAACCGTTATACAATCATTCCTATTAAATACCAATTTCGTAACGTATCAAGTATTTAATAATGAATTTGGACTCCTTTCTGTCACCAGATCTTTGTCTTCAATGCCTTCTAATCCGTTGGCTGTAAATAATTTAAATTGGTACGAGACTCGTATCTATACGTCGTCTCGTGCCTATTTAAATTCTTCTTCCCGTGGCTGTCTCNATCAGGATTTGGCATTAGAGGAATGATGGCTGAAGTAGCTATGGCCATTCGCATGTCTGCGAATGCTTCTCTTGATTTGGATAAGGCTCGAGCCTTGCTGCCTAAAAGGAAAGCTACAAAGGAAAGTTTTGAAGAAGAAGAGGAGGGTACCTCCCTAATTACCAGGCCAAGGGTCAGGAGACGAATAATCATTGAT